AGGTTGGTGGTGGCAGTGGAAGGGGAGAAAGTCATAGACACCTTTGGGAGGACTTGTGGTGTTCATGAAAAAGATGAGAGTTAAACAAATGAGAGTTAAAACCCCTAAAAGAATATTGACTTTATGAAAAACAAACATTGCATGTAATTGTAAATAAAAGACGGTGATGTGTCAATTTTTGTCTTGAATTTTTCTTTTCCTGAGCACATTTTAAAATGTACATAATGACTTTCCCAAGTTCAGGCTCTGTGCAGAGATATGTGCCTTTGTCAAAGTCTTCATTAACTAATGAGATCATTTTCTCCAAGCAAATTTCTCTAAGAGACGAGAGCAGACTTTCTGAATGTGTTCCCAAGGGGAAGGTGTCCAACTTGCTGATAGTTAAGCACACGGGTGGGTGAGAGTGGGGCTCTGTTCCCAGTTCCTTCTTCCCGACCAGGGGAGGGAGGTTGTGTTACTGGTTGGGTGCAGCTGTGGGAAGTGCCCAGTCATTGAAAGGAGGAGGGTCAGACCCCTTCCAATACCTCAGGAATAGCCAGAGGACGAATGAAAGCACCTTCAGGAGGCCACACCAGCAGCCCAGAAGAAAGGTGCATATTAAATTCAAGATGGTGCCTGGCGTTGCTGTTGTCCCCTGTCCTCAAATCACGTTCCACTGCAGAGGAAAAAGGCAATGAATGCACCCAAAACAGCACTGTATAAAATTTTCCTTTGTCCCACATTTTGAGTGAGGGTGACAACAGGCATATAAGTATTTCCACAATCTCAGCGGGGACTCGATCTCCGTCAGCGGGCTCAACTCTATTTGCAGTGACTCCAGAAGCAAGGAGAGTTTTTGTTCTGACAATCAGAATTCCAGCAATCGGTAAATGTTTCTTCACGCTGAGGAGTGGGAAATTCAATAATACTTTGGCTGAGTTCATGCTGAGCAGCAAAAATAGAATGAATGTGGAGAGGGGCTGTGACTTGAAGAGCAGTGAATCAGCCGACCCAGACGTTCTCAACAATCAGCTTTTAATCTGAAGCCCTCTCCTGTCCTCACTCCATTCTCCAGGGGAGCAGCACTGTTTTTATATTTGTTCCTAGAGCGTTTGGTGCCGTAATCCCTTGTTCACCCTAAGAAATGGAATTAAGCGCTCTGAGATCTTAAGAAAAGAAACCACTTCTGATCTTCTATATTATTATAGAAGAATATATATTACTATGTGACAGCAGGGTCATTTGCTGAAAGTCTTCACTTTATGTTACGATAACTCAGAAGGCAAAGTTGGTGTGGGTATCAAAGAACTTGTAATAATAGCATCACTTATACCTGAACACTTTTTTCTTCTGTAATCTGTAGGCTGAGAAACTGTATTCAGCTATGGGCCCTCTGAGATGTCTAGTATTAAAGCCCAAAGTGAACTCTGTTTTACTGACTTTCTTTCTATTAGGTATAATTTTGTAGAAAACTCTAATAGATGATTCAATAGAAGAAATCTTTAGTGGTATTTTTTTTTTTTAAATTACAACACTGAAACTTGATCATCATAGAGAAATTGGAAAGTGTAAACAACCAAAAAGAGATAAAATAGTCATATTTATACTACTCAGAGATAACCACTGCTATGACTTAAATGTATGTTCTTCCAGATTTTCCTAAGCACATATTTATATATTTTATAGTAATGAGATTAGATGACACATACTGCTTTGCTTTTTTCATTTACCAGTATTACACAAATCTCTATTTTTGTTAATGGCCATCTATATCATCTTTCCATAGTGTCACAGTAGGATATTTTAAGGATGTCCCAGAATTTAACCAATTTCCTGACCGTCCGTTTAAGTTGTTTCGAATCTTTGGCTTGATGATAAGCACCACACATTTCTTATTATTGGAACAGATTTGCAGAGCTGGTTTTTTGCAAGGGCAGTCTCAGTGATCTGGCAGAGGAGTCCCCTACCGTGGTTCTTCCGGCTGACCCAGAGTGGAGTAGCCTCCCATGACAGCAAGTGAGCACCAGCTCTGCTTCCTCACAGCCTTTACCAAATTATGATCTCTCATCTGCTTCGGATCATCACTTAACTAGTTTTCACACTTAGTCATGTTCACCTTGTCTACTGTCCAAACACTTTCCAGCAGAACCAAGCAGGGGTGATGTGGAGTGGAAGGAGGAAGAATCAATCAATCAGGACTTTCCCGTCTGTGTATAGATTTGCAGATCAGATGATATACTTCATTATTATCTGAAGTCCATACTTTATCCAGATTTCCCTAGTTGTTACCCAGTGTCTTTTTTCTGTTCCAGGATCCCATCCAGGACAACACATTGCAATTAGTCATCATCTCTCCTTAGATTGTGACAGTTTTTCAGACTTGACTTGTTTTTGGTGACCTGGACAGTTTTGAGGAATATTGGTCAGGTCTTTTGTAGAATGTTTCTAAAATGGGACTCCTTTGATGTTTTTTTCATTATTAGAATGGGGTTATATATGTTGGCGAGGAAGACTACAGAAGTAAAGTTCTATTTTCATTATAAAATATTAATTTTCATCACATAATATCAAGGGTACCTATTATAGACGCGACTTATTGCTATTGATGTCACTCTTGATCTCCTGCATGAGGTCATGTTTACTAGATTTCTCCACTGTAAAGTTACTCTTTCATCCCCTTTCTAGACTGTACTTTTTGGAAGGATGTCACTGTCCAGCTCACACTAAGGGTTCCTTCTCCTTGAGAGAGGCGTATCTACATAAATTATTTGTAATTCTTCTGCATGAGATTATTTGTCTATTTTCCTACAATGATTGATTTATTCAGTCATTTATTTATATCAGTATGGACTAATGGATATTCATTTTACACTTTGATTTATAATCCAATATGTCCTTATTTATTTTGTTGCTCAAATTGTTTCAATTTTGGACATTTGGTAGATCTTTCATTCAGGACTCCTTTGTCTGTCATTGTATTTGTTTGTTTGTTTTTGAGCACTTTTTTATTTTCTGGCTCTACAAGATGTTCCAGGTACATCTTATATATTTTCTGCCCTAGTCTTAAAAGCAGTCATTTCTATAAGGAGCCCTGGTTCTTTATTGGAGAATGCTATCAGAAACCAAGATCTAGGCACTAGATGTGTTTATTGCTCCTGAGGCTTCTAAGTCCGTACTAATTCATTGCTTCTAGACTCTTCCAGCTGATAGAGCAAGGAAATATATGTGTGTATGCTAACCTAGGCATATGAACATATCTATAAATATTTTTATATATAATCTATACCTGTATTATGCTAAATATGATTCATATTGATGTCTCCAAGGTTAACCCATTGCCATGTTGATCATTTTACCCTCCTCCTTTTGCTTATCTGAAAACTCCCATACCAATAGTTCTTACCAGCCACTCTCCATTTACGTAATTGTTCAATTCCAGTATAAATGTAAAGTGATATTAGAATTGCTAACCTGTACCTCCATGGGCAACAACTGTATCGACTAGAATACAGTGCTTGTATACAGTTTTTTTAGCCTTTAGTCTTATACATTCTACTCATATTAAAAGTTACTTAAGTGAGCATCTTGTCCTCCACCCTCTTCAATGAGGCTGTTTCCTACATTTGCAATGCATTTAGATTGTCTTGTTAACAGTTTGCATTCCATTCTGGGATTCCTCCAACCTTCTAAATAGTTTTTTTTAATTTGCATACATTAAGTTTCACTTCTTGTGCTATAAAGTTCTGAGTTTTGATAAATGAGTGGTTTCATGTTTCTACTACCACAGTATCCAGTATGGTATGGAATAGTTTCAGTTCCCTAGAATTCCTCTGTACTTCACCTGTTTAACCCTCACTTCTCCCTCCAACCCCTGGAAATCGCTGATCTTTTTATCATCTCTATAGTTTTGTCCTTTTATGAATGTCATTTAATGGAATCATATGGTACGTAGACTTTACGGACAGACTCCTTTCACTTAGCAATGTGTTTAGGATTCATCCATGTCTTTGCATGACTTGATAGTTCATTTCATTTTTTTATCACAATGAATAATATTCCATTGTATAGATATACCACAATTTGCTTTTCCATTCAACCATTAAAGGACATCTTGGTTGCTTCTGGTTTTTGGCACTTACAAAGAAAGCTTCTATAAAAATTGATGTGCAGGTTTTTATGTGGACATAATTTTTTAATTACTTGGGTAAATATCTAGGAGCACAATTGCTACATTGTATGGTAAGACTATATCTAGCTTCATAAGAATCTATCAAACTGTCTTCCAAAGTGGCTGTACCATTTTTCATTCCCAGCAAGAATGAGAGTTCCTGTGGCTCTGAATCCTCATCAGCAATTGGTATTGTCATTTTTTTGGGGGGTGTGGATTTTAGCATTGTGTAGGTATGGAATAGTATATTATGTTGTTTTGATTTGCAATTCCCTAATGACAAAAATTGTTGAGCATATTTTCCTATGCTCATTTGACATATGTATCTTCTTTGGTGAGAAGTCTGTTAAGATCTTTTGCCCATTTTTAAATCGGATTGTTTATTTCCTTTTAAGAATTCTTTTTATATTTGGATATAAGACTTTTATATGTGTTTGGCAAATATTTTCTCACTGTTGTACTTTTTTTTAGCATGTAAGGATTGAGCATCACTTTCTAGCACTAAAAGCTTACATACAATGCTAAATGCCATTAATGATGTGGCTCTGCTTACTGTCTTTGCTTTGCTGTTCCCAAGAGTGACCCCGACACTCCCTCTCGCTTTCTTAACCCCATCCACTGATTGTCGAAAAACCTTTACGTACGGGGGTCTTCATTTATTTTAAGTGAATGATCAAAGTGATGATATGCTTATTCATCCATCTGCCATAAAGTTCCTGGTGAGAATCCTACCCTGTTTGTTTTCTTGTTTTGGAGGAAACAAACAGGGCAAGAGGAAGTTGTCACAATATTTAGGTTGAGCCACGTCACTGGTGCGCTAACAGTTGTCTGTCTTCCTTTCCATGGCCTCCAGTCATCAAGCCTCCTTTGCGTCATTTCAAACGTCCTGCGTACGCGTCTAGCTCCTACGCACCTTCAGTCCCAAAGAAAACTGATGATCATCCCGCAAGGTACAAGATGCTGGATCAGAGGATCAAAATGAAAAAGATTCAGAACATCTCACATAACTGGAACAGAAAATAGATCAAGGGGAAGAAGAGAAGGAGAGGAGGCCCACCTGTGTGCCTCCCAGCACTCACTGGCCACAGCAGGTTGTGCCTCCAAGACCCTCGGAGGCCACTGGGGCAGGTACTATCAAGGTTGGCTCCACTAAGGCAAAATGAAAGCCTTAGTGATTTTCCCCTTTGTTGTTCTCTTGTAGACTCATCAGTCTTCGGATTTGAGGTCAATCCAGACTTCAGCAACAAACTAGTAAGAGGGTTGTTTCATGTGGCTTTTATAGTATAGATCTTTCAAAGTCTAAATTGGACCAAAATTAAAATGGTACAAACTATTCAGAAAAACAAAATTCTTCCCAGTGCTACTTTTTTCGTCCTTACAAGTGGAAGTGCCCCAATAAGAATACTGGTTTAATAATCACCATATTTAAGAAATGCACTTCTAAAAACATCTTTTTCAATTTTAAATACACCTATTTAAAATTTAAATACATTTATTTAAAATTCAAGTAAACATAACTTTTGAAGTACATGCATTCAAAACAAAAGTTGTGCTCTGACTGTAACAATCTTAACAGGAAGAGAAGCCTGATGAATTGTATTCATGGATATTTCAGAATTCAGGCTTTACAAAGTAGATCCAAGTTAAAAAAAAAAAGAGAGACTTTTTTGGTTTTTAATCACATGCTTTGTACCCAGTAGCCTCAGTGTACCTTTAAGAATTTGAGAGTTTTTAGGGGATGCATTTGGTAGCTTTCCTCTAATCCCTGAGTTCCACCCACAGTAGAAGATGCTAAACATCATACCTTAACAACTCTGGGTTTGAGATTCACCAAGGAGAGGTCAGTTTGGTTTTGTGGTCCTGGGACAGGTGGGTATAAAATGCAGAACCTAGTTTTAATTCCTTATTTCCAGATTTTTCTCCATAACTCTTGAGATGCCTTCAAGTTAAATTTCAGATCATCTTCTCAGCAGACCACATATCTAAGGCCCTTTGGGATCCCAATTGCACAGACCGCTGTTGGTGGAATAGAAGGCTTTATAAGGCACCTTTCTTCAGGGTGGTGTCTTTAACCCTTCTGTGTCTCTCCCCAGAGTTTTTACTTTGAGACTAAAATCACAGAAATGGCAAGGAAATAGCTTTCAATCCCTTTAGAAAAAGCGTGGGGCAGCAAAGAAGCTAGGATTGTTGTCATGCAGTTCTGACCTTCATCCTGTTCTGTCTAAAACTACTTGCAGGTTGTTGGTCTGATTGTTTAGTTATTTAAAACCTTGCTTTGCCTAACTAGAAAGTGGGATTGATAATACCCACTGTGCATTTGGCATGAAGATTAGTGATAATGTAGGTTTAGATTGCTATTGCTGCTCCTGGAGAGTAACAGGCACATGACAGTAGCTAAGAGCATTTCACCTTCAGGACAAACTCTCCAGGACGGCTCCACAAAGAAGGGGCTGTTTGTTCCTTGATGGCCACAACCTTCAAGGCTTGATTGTAAAAGGTTTTGCGTTCTCTCCTCTTATTCCTCACAGTTCACTTCCAATAACTGCAGTTATTCAAGTTGAGCGAGCTCCAGAGTTTAGTGCCCATCATACTATTGAGCAGTTTATTTACAAAGTACTTTATGATGTTAGTTCAGGGAAATTTAATTGCTATACAAAAAGAAAAATCACTGTGACTTTTTGTTAGGGGTGGCAATTGTAATTCTTAGCTCCTTGCCTGGTGTCTGAACAAGAAGACCCTTCTGCAAGCTGAGGGTCTATTCCATCTGCATTAGGTTAACTCAACAGGTAATTCCTACCTGTTTGCATACAGATGCTTTAGTGCGTGTGGCACAGAGCCATTCGGCTCCACAGTGAGGAGGCCTGTGGAGTAGTGGCCTCCTCAAATGACACTCCTCATCAATCTCTTGATACGTTCAGTCTTAGATATTGAGACTTCAGAGTGGCTGTGCTTTCTTGGTTGTGCTTCTTGATGTTGGAAGCCATGTTCCTAGGGGAGAAAGTCGACTCCTTCTGTATTCCTTTCTCCTAAGATGTGATTTTTCAATCTTTGCTAATATTGTAACTGAGCAAATGTACAGATGTTGAGATTCTGCACTGCTTGTAAGATGCCTACCATGTGTTTGGCATGATGGATTATACAGAAATGCAGATTATATTCTTATAGTAAATAAAAAGATGCTTTTAACAGACTTCCTTGTGTGTGAGCCATCTTTTTCTTTTCAGGAATTCTGGGATTCATCTGAAAACAGTTAGATTTCATTAAGTTTGATGCTGTTCAGCCCTGAATATCTTGTCAAAGTGAATAGTATAACTTACCCTTTTCAATCTGCTTCCTAATTGGGTAGGTGATAGCTTTTTTTTTTTTAAGCCTCCTCCTCCCTACAGAGTCAATAAATTAATTTGTTAATATGAATAAGCCACAATAGAGGGTAGTCAGTAGGTGAACACCTATGTCATCAACTCAGTGTATTTCATTCCAGGCTAAGCTGTCTAGCTAAGAGTTAAGAATTGGGACTTTAGAGTTAGAAAAACATATAATTAAATCCTGGCTCCACTTTTTGTTTGCTCTGGGAGCTTTACCGAGTTACATAATCTCTCTAAACTTCAGTTTCTTCAGCTATAAAATGAGGATAATAATAATACCTGACTCATTATAGCACAAAGCTGGCCCTATAGCGAGGACTTGATAAATATTAGCTATATTTCTTGGGAAGACAGTGGAGTGTAGTAAAAAGAAGTTAGGCTTTTGAGTTCAGGAGCAATGTCCCTTCCTATTCTATGACACCAGGTAGATAATCTTCTTGAACTTCAGTTAAAAGGAGTTAATCATCTAACTGTGTATCACCCATCTGGCTGTTCCCACAGGCGCGGGTTTCTGCACTTTCATCTTTAACATGTATCCCTACATTTGGTGGGAACCTGACATTCCCATCCCCACGGACCCCTTCTCCTGTGTCCCCACAGCCTTGGCATTCTTGAGCCTCCATTTCCTGTGGCCACCTCTTGCTGTTGTGTCCCGCCTCCTCTGACTCTCTCACCAACCCCCTGCATCATACCTCCTGCAACAGCTGTCCTTCACTCTGTTCCTGTGATATTTACCCTATTTCATTCTCCACACTCAATTGCTTTATTCTTCCAAAGCTCCACCAACACAAGTCTGCTGCATAGAACAGACTTTTCCTGAAGGTTTAGGGTGGCGGCACAGCAGAACCAACTACTTAAATTAAAAATTAGGCAACAACAATAAACTATCAGTAATCTCCCTTTGTGGAGGATTTCTCACTGGCTGTGGCTTCCTCAGGCACAGATGTGCCTCTCTCTTCTTGGACTTCCCCTTCTACCAAGGTCTTTCCCCTCCCCTGTTGAATGTCAGATTCCCGGGAATGTGCGATACAGTCCATTTCTCACCCCCTGCACCACACAAGTTCTGGGCATTTTCAGGGCACCTGAACTCACTCTGCCAAAGAGTGGGTACTTACTCTGTGTCCCACTCCTATCAGCACGTAGAACCCACAGAAGCTTCCAAATGGCAGGTTTTCTCTTTAACATAATCCAATGCTTAGGCTGGACCACTCCCTGTAAAAGAAGAGCAGTATCAATAAATATGTCTCTCCTTCTTCCACTCCACCTGACCCTGCCTGGGATTTCTGGTTGTTTATTTTCCCCCACCCAGCTAAACCTTTCAAGGGTAGGGCAGTGGGTGTCACTTACGAGGTGCTCAGAGAAGGTGAATTCTCTTCTCTTCCTGCCTCTGCCTACTGCGAGCCAGCTAAGCCTTACCATATGCACATCCACTGAGCTTCTGAAATAGAAAATCACACCAGCACTTCCACTGCGATGACTTTAGTCCCCGCGGGATGGAGGGAGAGGGTAGAGATGGTTGATAACTATTTTTTAAGTCCATGATTTCCATCCAAATCCCTGTTCCTGAGGCAGATGGAAGGCCACTTATACAGTTGCAAGCTTTCAATTTGTTTTCTCATTGGCTGCAACTTTACTTGATCAATTATATTCTCTTTGATCCATTTCCAATGGAAAAAGTACTATTGGGCCAACATTTTAGTTTATTCAATGTTTGTCAAACTAGGTTAGAAGTGAGGATGCCTTAGGACTGCGGGTTGGGAGTGGGTGAAAGATTAATGACTCGGCTTCCAGGCTTGACCCTGCACACAGCTGCAGCTGCCCTCGACAAGGCCAGGGGAGGCAGAGAAGCCCCTGCAGTATCATAGGTGGAGAAAGTGGGCCTTTGCTGGTGGTTTTATTTTTAAGACCAATCTAGAAGAGTTATGAGTATTCATCACAATTTTGTTACATTCAAAGAACATGAAAAGCTGCTTTTGGGGAATAACAAGTGATAACAACTATGGAATATTCTCCTCATCTGCATATTTTAACTTCATATGTATTTTAACTGCATCTTTAACTCATAATGTTCAACTTGGACTCTCCATGGATTTTCAACGGCATGCTTTGTTTTGTAGACCTGAATGAGATTCGGCTGATCCGAGCTTACAGAAACACCTCATCTGAAAATCTGCCATCATGGGAAGAATTCATTTGTGGTCATTGCCCTTTTAGCGCCTCTCTTATGACTCACTGGATAAAGGAAGATTCCAAACTTTAAGACACAAAGGTAACAGGATACTAAATAACTATAACAGCAGAGACAAATATGTCCAATCAAAGCAGCTAAAAATTTGAAATGATAGAATACTGCTCTAGCATAATAGATTTTAAAATTCAGTTAATATTTTTTTTAGAATACATCGGGTTCCAGGCACTTTCATATATACCAATATATTTAACTCTCATTAATAAACCTGTGTGGGAAGACTTATTGTCCTTATTACTGATTACTAAATGGAGATTCAGATGGGTTAGATTTTTTGCAAAAACTTTGCAGAGCTAGTAAGAAAAGGTAGAAAGGAGATTTAATTAATGTCCTTTGATTGCAGTCCTATACATTTTTTCCATACACCATGTTGTCCCCCAGACTATTTTGGTGTATCATCATCACCAATCGTCCATAGTTCAGTCATGCTCTTGTCATCCAACAGAGAATTCAGGACCAACAACAATAGCAAGATTATTCTCAACACACTGGACTGCTAGTTTCCCTCTCCCTCTTAGGCCAGGATTGTGCCCTGTGCTGAAACTGTGTGGTGAAGCATCGCTGGGAGAAGCCCTACGACTGAGCAGACATAGCCACTAGCACACTGGACCTCAGGCTTCCGTGGCCCATTGCTCGTTGAGGGTATCCTCCTCACATCTCATCAGTTGATCCAAATGGATGGCTCTTTCTTACTTCCTAAGAATTTCCTTTTCCTTGTCCTCTCAGCTAAGACATGAAGAAAACATGGTCCATGTGGGGAAAAACATTTCCTAATCATTCTGCTTCCCACCACTGTGGGTATCTGACTCTATACCATCCTCTTATTCTTCCCTGATGTCTCAGAGGAAGCCATATTTATTCTCCTGTTTAAAACTTGTTTCCACCATTGAACCATATTCTATTTCTACTGACAAAATTCATTTAGATTTGATTTTCATGGAAAATAAGCAATGAAATCCAACCATTAAATGGATAGATATCCAAACTGCCAAAACATGATGGTGTTTCCACAGGCCCATTCCTCTTGAACTTTGTGAAGCCTTTCTCAGTGCTGACCACATTTTTTTATTTAGAAACTCTCCACCCTTTGCCTGTGTGCAGTGCATTTTCCTGGTTTGTCTTTTACCTTGTATTTCTCTGCTTTGCCAGTGTCTGCCACTTCTCCTACTCATAGTACTTTCCCCAAGATTATGGGGATTTGAACCACCAACGTCATCAGCTTGACTTCTAAATCTATAATGCTGTCCCTGTTGCTCTCTCAATCCTATATCTGCGTTCCCAATCACCTGTTGGACTTCTTCATTTGAGTGTCTTGGAAATAATGTAAGCCTCACTCTCAAATTCTTCTGCAGCTCTCATACTGTCCTCTTCCTGATGTATGTGTTTCTGTTATTACTACTACCATTTTCCTAGGCACCCATTCTCAAAGTCATTATCTTTTATATTCCTCTAAAGCCATCTTCACTTTTGTCACTAATTATTCTCTGGGATTTTGCAACTGCATCCAGGTTCCTTCCTTAGGAATTATGGCTTTCTATTGCAAGAGGTGATATTTCCTTCATGTCAAACTCCTCCTAGAACCACAAAATCCACTTCCAATGACCTGTGGTGGAGGCTTTATCAAGAGAACATGAAGAACACATTTGCCAGTGTGTGCATTCTCCTCTGTTGGAGAAGCTTGTCCACTGCTGTCTTGCCCAGGGTGCTTCTCACGGATGAAGACACAACACCTGTCCATGAGCACTGGAGAGTTTGTTGAGACATCTGGGCACTCCTAACACTTTGCATAAGATCTCCCTTGTCCCCTACTGTCCCACCATACTCAGCATAAAGAGATCAACTAAATGCCAAAACATCTGAATTCAGGAATTCTATGCTGTGAAAACATGCAAATACCACTGGGCAATTTTGTTTAATGAACACATATATAGGGAATATGTTAATTATGTCTTTTCCAGAGGACAAAGTTCCTCATGAAGTGACATCTATTGCTGTCAGCACAGTTTTGTACCACCCCCCTTCACATGTAGCCGTTTCTTGACTGAGCCAGGTCTATTTTTATTTTTGTTCATGATTCCGTTTTTACGACATTCCTTCTGCATGCTCTTTACCTGCGGAAATCTTAGCTGTTTTGCAAAGCTCAGCAGGAAGTTTCACCTTCCCTGGGACTCAGTACCCTATCTCCCCGAGTAAAAGTGGTCTTTTGCTGTGGTTGATCCTCATAATGCTCTACTTTTACTTCTCTGTGACACTTAAGTTCTTCTACCTCAAATTACATAGATCTTAATTCTTGCCTACTATATTCTCATTTCCTGGAGAGCAGGGACCATCCTGTTTGTCTTTCGTATTTGTATGCCCTATAGCAATCAATATGGTGCTTTATATAGGACAAATCCTGGAAATGTAATGAGCAGATGGAGTGCCTTTTGGGGGTGATACAGAGATAGAAAATGCATAGACTTGTGGAAAATGTATTACTATTCTTCTTCTCCCACTCATGGCCATCACTAATTTTTCTCACCAAGCCCAGAAATAGCCTCAGAAGTCTTACTGACACAGAGCTCCAGGCAATTGGTT